CTTCTCCTCAGTTCACTTGTTTGCCCCCCTGGGGGTTGATTTTCGCAACCTGGATCTTTCTCCAGCTCACAGCAGACTGAGATCCAGGAAGAGGAGCTCCCCACAGAGGGGTTGGGCAAAAGGTTTCACGGGTCAAACTGTTGTAGGGCCAGGGGGACGGTCAGAAGAGCCGGAAGGCGTGTCTGTGGTCTTGGGTCTCGCTGTGTTGTTGAAACAACCTTGAAACCCCCCAAATTTGGGAACTTTAGAACTCTTCTTTAACCAGGATTGTTAGGAAGCTCCCAGGGTGGTCTCCCTGCTATGAAAAGTGGCCTCTAGTGACTGGGTGGTTGATGCCTTCCCGTCAAGCTGCAGCTGATGTGAAACTTGGGGAAATCCTTCCCCATCCTCTTCCTCTCCTGCTCCTCATTCTTCCCCACTTCCCCTTCCCCTTCCCTGTCCTCTTCCTCCTCCTTCCCCTTCTTTTCCTCCCTCCCCCTGCCCCTCTTTTGGAGAGCAAGGCTGCCCTTGGCCCCCCCAGCCAACACATCTGATCTCCCCCCAGGTATCGAGCCCCACGGGAACACGGTGCTGAAGCCAGCCCACTTCACTGTGGAGACCGTCGAAGCTGGACTGGGAGAGGTGCTGGTGTACATCGAAGACCCCGAGGGACACACAGAAGAGGTATGCCTGGTCCGTGCCCAGCTGTGCCCCAGGGCCAACATCTGATTCCGCTGGCCTTTTCCTCCTCTGCCCCCACCCCAAATGGCCCTCGAGCTTCTGCCTGGCAAGGGAGCTGGACCAGCTGCCAGCCGTCTCAGAGCTGCTGCTGGCTAGCCCCGTTTTCTAGGGGGCCCTTCCTCCTTTTGCCTTCAGGTCTGAAATAAACCCTGGGGGTTTGAAGCCAGACGGCTTCCCCCCCGCCCCCAACTGGCTCCAAGAGAGGAAAGTGCTGGCGGGCAGGAGGCGCCCAGGCCCTCGGGCCAGAGAGCCCCCATCCTTCTCCTCTCCTCTCCCTGCCCTGAGCCACAGGATGGAGCCCCCCACCCCCACAATGACCAGGGAAGGGCACCAGCCTTTCTCGCTGCCAGGCTGGCACTGGAAGCCTCAGCTGCTCCAATTGGGGCCGCGGGGCCATGGAGGAATCAGCCGATGCCGTGACTCCCCAG